TGTATGTATGTACGTATGTATGTATGTATGTATGTATGTACGTATGTATGTATGCACGTTTGTGCATGGATGTATATATGCATGCGTGTATGTATGGTGTCTCCCATCTTCATTGATGCTGATCTACTTCCTATGTTCCTAACTATGTTTGTATATATTCATAGTTCATGCTATTGATTGAGATAAACCTCCAGGGAGAGGGCTTGCATAGGCTTTGCCGGTTGCCCAATTCCCATTAAATCCGATTGATTTAATCAAATATTTTGAAATGAAACGTAATTATTTGAATTTATAAGATGATAGGAGTACTGGGTGATTTGTCGTCCTTTGTTAATACCTAGTAAGTCTAATACATGTAGTGTATTTGCCTCTTTGCTTAGATTATTCAGATCGGCTAGATTTAGGCAGGATCGGGAAGATCGACGGAAAATAGCATTAAACGCTGACAAATGCAACTTGCTATTGGTACAATTGTAACTATGAATTAGAAGACATCATACCACCCTTACTCCTAACACTGACAGAACTCAGATAAACACCAAGTAAACCTTAGCTACAATAAAACACTTTAATACTTTACCTCCATATCGGATCATCCATGTACTATCAAGGGACACAAAAAAGATAATATTTAACCAGAGACAAGCGGCGAAGTCGTCACATGGGATTACGGCAAAGCACCTGTTGCTGCAGCATCAATTTTGAAAATGAACTCAACTATAAATCACTTTATAGAGGACAGAGGACAATAACTCGACTTGCTACAATGTGCACCAGTGATAAACATACCTTACAAAGTGTGTCCAAGAATAACACGTCAATCACCACAATCACGGATTTCAAAGACCACACTCCAGGTCGAACACATGCATGCACTCATTGTTCCCAAGAACAGCAATGATGTGAAACATTATAACATTCTTGCATACTAGACCGAGATATCTGCATTTCCGGCGGTGCTGGAAAATTATATCCGACCCACGGGTCTAGATCGCTTACACGCGCAGACTGGAGGGGGGAATTATAGTGACCTTTCGGGGTCACGCTTTTGTTCGTAACGTCATTTTATGACGTTTTGGGGTCAGTCAAGGTCATTGACATCATTTACAATTGACATCCGGGCTTCATATGCAAATGAAAAAAGTGCAGACATTTTACAACTTTACTAGAAGAGCAGCTGTTTTTATGGGTTTAAGGTAATAAGCAAGAAATCGATTTCATCCCTGATGTGGGGTAAGGATAAGGTAATTCAATCTCTCGGGATTAAATATTGAGCAAAAGACCCTCGGCAAAGCCTCGAGTCTCCTGCCCAATAATTTATCTCTTGGGTTTGAATAACCTTATCCATACCTCGCATCAGGGATGGCTTCTATTAATACCAGTCATTGAATTAAACACACTGGATCCGTTAAGTGCTTGCAAGAAAGGTCTAGAAATGTAGTAATCACTTTAGTCACTTAAGCCGCACTGCAAATACCTGGGTTGTACATGTACACACAAACAATCATTCCAATCACACAAGCGTGGCATGTACATAATGCACAAACTCGGTAATACAATTAAAGATTGTGAACATTATGAGAGAAAAAAAGCTGATGTATCATTCTTCTCCAGTTGTTTGACACAAAAAACACACGACATAAAAAAAAAGACAAAAAACATCACTTAACATTTTCTTTTCATTTGAAGTATTTTAATCTCGTTAAAGTTGAAATGAAACGTACAATAATGAGCTTTACAACTTTGTTTTGTACAACCTTAATAGATTTGAAATGCAAATTATTGTGTAACTAATGTGTTCTATTAACGTAAACAACACAGTTGTTAAATGTCATAAACCAATATATTAAAATGAGTGATATTAGGTAAGAAATAATGCATGACTGTGTAAGTAATATAACATAACATAATGTTATGTAATGTATGTAATATGTCATAATTTTGAATATCATTATTACATCAATGTAATATACATATGTAATATAGTATATCATATGTGTGAATAATAAGACATATATGTATGAAATTTACCATAACCATATAGCAAGAAAATGAACTTGTGTAACTGCGTTTGTAACTTTTCAAGTGTAGTATAAAATAATTCCGTATGTAACTTATTGTGTATGTTATATAACCGTGTATGTAAAATAGCATAATTCCCGATGTTACATACATGTCAGTTCTGTTGTAACCGGGCAATGCTCCAAGCCAAATGCAATACTTTCCTCATTACATATCCCTACTTTTTATATGGTTAAATTATTAAAACATTATTTAGCACCTAATTTACACATGTAACAATCGAGGAGTTTTCTTTCGTTGAATATGTGATTTTGAGGACATGCACAAAATTATATTTACCTTGACTTTGTCTCGGTTAATATCAAGTTTTCATGTTCATATAACCACATGCTCACCTCACTAAAAGTCCATAATTGTTCATGTGATATACCTTATAGGTCATAGATGCATAACAAAAGCGAGCATTTTACATAGAGATGTAGATGATTCATGACAAAGTAAATCACACAGCTCAATAACCACATTACAATAAAACAAGAATGTATATTGATTAATTCTCACTAATGGAAAGGGCTTAATAAATCCGAGGTCGATGTTATTGATTATCATTGCCATGCATAATGTACAATTTTAGGAACATATCTGCATATGGAATTCATGATAATGAAAGTTTCACCCGAAGATCAATTGATTTATTTCTCCATATTAGGAGTTGATAAACGACAACTCCTGTTTCTTCAAAATTATTTTTTTATATTCCGATGAAAAATTAACATCACATCAAGAGCTACGAGCTAGTACTCCTTTGAGCCGTCCCAGGAAAGCTGAGCTTCATTGTTCATTCCCTCCTAGACCCTCTCTCAAAATTCCATGCATACTAATTTCATTTTTTCGGTTCTGTACGAGTCTCATTCGTTACCTCTATTGACTCTCATTTTAATAGTCACTCCGAGTCTTTACAGGTAACTACCTATACTACTCCCTCTGATTCCTACAAGGAACATTCAATATTATCTAAGGAACACTACGTACAAATATATATACTCTATTTGTATTACCCTTTCTGATTAATTTAGGGACAAAACTTGTGTGTTAATTATATTTCTCCCTCAAGTCAATCCAGGAAAACATAAAATGCTCTAATTTAGCTAGATTCTATTTTTTGAAAATCCTGAAAAAAATCATCTTTTTGTACACGTATGCATAGTTTTACTTGTAAATTGAATAATTTCATCACCTATCAGATCTGTGCGAGCTCACCACAAACACCTTGCACACATAGTGCGCACCTCGACCGCACATAGTACACACATTATGTAACTGTGTTTAATTTTAAAGCTTTTAACCCACGTCGACCTTTGACATCGGCTAGCACCTAAAATCCACCTTTGACCGCATTAACTTAACAAGGAAAAAGATTCACACAGCTGGCCTGCATAACCAAGCATCTTGACTCTAGTCCAAATGGTTCTTAGGATATTGTTGTTTATAAAGTTTTTAACATATTTGACCCCTGTGGCCTTGAAACTAGGTCAATGTCATTTTAATGGGGAAATATTTATAGCACTACATCCCAGGTACCTACTGGACACATATCATGACCCTGGGCCTCATGGAACTTGAGAAGATTGTTGAATATTTTTACCTTATTTGACCTTTGACCCCGGCTAGCACTTTAATGTTGAGCTTTGCCCTCATTACCATAACAAAGAAAATGATTCGAACTGCTGGTTTACATAACATATCACATTATCATGACTCTAGTCCGTCCTTATGGTCCTTTAAATATTGTTGTTTGAATTTCTTAACATATTTGACCCATGTGATCTTGAAAGTAGGTCAAAGTCATTTGAATGATGAAATTGTATAACACTCTTTTCCATCTATATACAATGTTCCTTTTGGTCAAATGTCTTGACCCTAGGTCCTCCAGTTCTTCATAAGAAGTCGTTCAAAAGAAAAGCTGACAGACGGACGACGGCATACGCTCACAGGGCCCTTCGGGCCAGGTGAGCTGAAAAGAACTGAACGATCGCGTTGATTTTTAATAAGACAGTTGATTAGCGATTGTCAGTTAACAAAACACGACAGTTACTTATGTTAATTGCCTTTTCAGAGTCCCCCTTCCGCCTATTCATCAACCTACTACTTTTTGTAATTAGCCCATGCCTTTCCCAGAGATATTTTCTCTGTACATATACCTGCTAACCGGAGGATACTAATTAAAGGACACTGAACCATACAGAAATCCAGTCATTGTTTATGCTACCTGATTCTGGAAAACACGCTTGACTGATTTTTCAACGTAGTGAAGGTCTCAGTTCAGTTGTTATGTCAATAAACAGAAGGGTAAACACACAGACTTACCAAACAGTTATCGTCAGTCATGCATGCATTTTTTTATTATTATTATTGTGTGTTTATGAGGCTGGTTCTGCGATTCTTATAAATATGAACCATAAAATATTATTGTTTTAAAACATACCTTACACATTATTCATAAGGCATTCCTAAATGTATATTTATCACCATAGCTATCGCACTTCACTCGTTCCAATGGATTATCGAGCGCCAAGATGTGAGCATGCTATATCTATATCGGCTATTTCTTCCTAGCTGACAATATGCGTACATCGCGCACACATGGTACTTTCAGCAAACATCATTTTGTGATCCTGCTACAGTATTTTGGTTTAAATCGAAATATAAAATTCTGATCAATGTCTATGAAGTAATTGTCAGCAAGACAAATAGAATAGACAGCATGTTTAACACCCATATGGCACAAATCAATGGCTTTCCTAAATTATTAGCCAAAATTTCTATACCCGGTGAACCCGGTAAACCATTGTCTCACGTCTTACTAAGGGATTTAGTAAAAACAAGCATTGACATTGTAAACATACAAATAAAAACAAGTAAAGCCTTTAATACAGTCATACTTTGAGAATAACTTTTCCATGTATACACTGTCAATGTCACTTTCTGCTATCGTTACTTCCGGATGAGCCCCCAGAGTTATTATTTCGACTATTTCTCTTTGAACCGGTCTCTGATCTGCTTTTGTTTCCGGATATACCTCTTTGATCTGGAGTCGATGAGCCAGATTTGTTATTATCGTTCCAAGAATGATTTCTGCTGCTTCCACCAGACCTACTTGAGGTAGCTCTTCTTCCATCATCTGCATTTTCAGATTTTGTTGTTGCTCTCGACAAGCTAAAAATCATTATAGTTCCATTTTGAGATCCGATCCAGAGCCGACTGGATGCATCGCATGCGATGGACCAGGGGCTTTCTAAACCGTCGTCTTTATTTAAGACGTCTTTCTGATACTTTCCTGAAGAGTCAAGCATCTGAATCGTATCTGATTCAATATCTACAACGTAAATATTTCCATTCTCATCCACACAAATACCACGTGGATTAAAATTAGCTTTCTCTCCGTTGTTGTGTTTGTCACCTTTGTAGCAAGTTACTGTGTTACCTTTGGCGTCCTGAAGGATTACAGCCTGCTCGACCCAATCAGAAATAATGATGTTCCCTTTTTTATCCAAGCATAGTCTTGCTGGATACGGAACGTCACGACCAAGTGGTGTACTGGTTATTCCTTTTTCTTTTTCTATATGAATTATTGATGAAATATCGCCGGGCTTGATGTCGAAGAATACATCGTTTTCAACACAGCCAACTATAATGATATTTTTGGATTTGTCTGCTGCGATTCCCCGAACGCACATTTCCGCTTTTGTGTACACAGTTTTTCGCCCTGTTGCGTCCACAGTACGAACCTTGTTCGCTCCATTCGATGTGACGTATCCTCTTCCGCTCATAAAAGTAACATCATCTAATGCATGACTAAATTTTACGGTTTGCTCACATTTCCCTTCCGGTGAGAACAAGTGCACAGTGGCTTCAGCTCCAATGCAAACCCATGCCATTTCGTTATCGGTTGGTGCTATTCCTGATATCACACAGTCTCCAGGAGGACAGTCAAACTTGACAAGGAAAACTGGTTTTCCGTCTGATTCATTCTTTCTTTCATTGTTTTCTCCAATTTTGTTGTCTTCTTTCGTGAAGGGATCATGCAGCTTTCCAAATAATTCCCTCAATAATGCTTTATCTAGTTTGCCTGGCTCAAAGAATATCCCACCTGCGCTTGCGTTGTTGTTCTTGTTAGCATCGTCAGCACTTAAGGTCTCTAGTCGTTGTCTTAGGTTGACGGTGTGCGATACAACGGTGGTATCATCACCCTGATCCAGTAAAAACTTGCTAAAGAAATAGATTGCTGCAAAAGATTTGAATCTTCTTTCCATGGTATTTTTTCCATCCTTTTCCTCATTATCACTCGCCATTCCGTTATCTGATATCTCACTTATAAAATCTAGTTTTATATCATTTAAAATCTTTTGAAAAGCTTCAAGCTGTGCTTCAACAGATGTCATCAACTTATCTTCCTTTCCTTCATTCGCATTACGTTTCTTTTTTGAATTTTTACTGTAGTCGCTAAGAGCTTCGAGATGCTGAAAGTATTCGTCTTTATTGATTTCCGTTGCCAAATCTCGTCTAAACTCCTCGGCCACCTCTATTACATCGCGAGATTTGTGAAGTTTGTGAGTGGTCATGTTGCAGTCAATGCAAATAAGTTCCTTGCATTCTTCACAGAAGTACTGAAGCTCGTTCTTTTCGTGTGCGGGACATTTGGGCTTCCGCTTTACTTTACGTACACCTGCATCGTCGAGTCCCGCAACGTTGTGGTCCTTAGTTGTTTGTAGTTTTTCATGAAATGTCACACAGAACTTACAAAGCTTCTGATTGCATTCATAACAAAATGATGCAGCTCTGGATTTATCCCCACATATATCACATGATTGCTTATCCTTCCTATCTCCCCCTTCTCCTGCCCTTACGTCTCCAACGAAGCAATTCTTATCAAACTCATCCGGTCCATTTTCCGGGAGTTTTGTCTCTGTTTTACATAGCGGGCATTTGAAGCTATCTCCCTTGCAGTTAGCTTCAATGTATTCCTTTATACAATCGAGACAGAACGTGTGATAGCAGGTCAGAAGTCTTGGGTCTTTGAACTCATCGTTACAGATGAAACATTTCTGAACATGTTTTTGCTCATCTTCACTCAATTTTGCTTTGTTAACAGCTTTTCGAAAAGCCATCCTTATATCGGACATAATCAATCGGCTGTGTCTGCAATTCCAGCATCAGAAGAAACAAGGTAACTCAATCACGCAATGCCGTGAGATCCATCCATTCTGAAAACCCAATTAAGTATTGATTTATTTTAAAATCACATTTCGTGAATCAATGAATAATGCAACTTGAAATGTTTGCCATGCATCAACTTTGTTCATATATCTGACAATATGATCCCTGTCTCATTCGTTTATTTTCATGGACATATTTTAAATTATCTAAAGTCAAGGTCAGCATTGATCCATAATGATGTCGAAATAAAACCTACCCTGTAGTAAGTTTGACGAATGAAAGAATAAAAATCATTGAGCCTTCATAAAATATATACTATTATTTTTGTAAATGACAATTACACAATATCAAAAATCAATTTATTCTAAAATCAGAAAGGAAAAGTTTTATTGTACATTTAATTTTGTACAATAAAGGTTTTCTTTCTGATCATAGAAATAATTGAATTGTTGATAGTGTGTAATAACTAGGCGTCTGACCGTCTATAATTATCAGCCAGGTCGAAGGTTCGAGGCAAACGTGTGACAGACACAAGGTACTGGCCGAACGACGGTGTTTTTTCCCCGGTAACTTTGACTGTACTTTACCACCAAAACTATTAAGATCCTTTAATGACCTTGATATAAATTGAACGTGAAACACAAACCAAACCAAACCAAACCAAACCTATACCGGCAACACTTGATCAATATATAATTTGAAATCTAATCAATGTTACTTACATTTTCGCTGAAAACATGTGGCAATTCTGACCTCTACGGTTCATTGCAAGTACTGGTAGCTCCTCACGTCCTGTTCTGTTTACGATTTAATTGAATCATATCGTGAAACATTATATAGCCCTCACAGAGGGCGGCTGATATTCACAATATCGTATTCAATGGAGTGTCGTTTTTAATGTCTATCCGGGAAGCTCCAGTGAGTAATCCAAGTAATCATTTAAGGCAATACAAATGACAGGAAGTCGTCATCAATTAATGTTCACAGATAACCACAGACTGATTACAGCCTTGGTGTCACTTAACTAATTAATTTTATTAATCAAGTGAACTATCTTGCGAGAATTTCACGTGTTTACACTTAGAACAACTGTGGTATATACACACATGTGTACATCTGGTTTCCCGATTCTACAGTAGTTGCTAGGCCGGGTGTCACGGTTTAGTCCTAGTGTGTTTGTAAATACGCAGCATCAAGATCCAACGTGTTTAGTATCTGTAACACGTCAGCCAGCACCGAACTCTTAACCAATATAAATCAATATATAACTACGGATGCTGCAAACTGAACCAAACGTGTCACCCGAGACACGAGATAAGCTATTCAATATCTGATGTTCTTGACGACAAGTTTATCTTTTATTTATGTACTTTAACAAATATAGAAAGATACATTTAAATATGCATGTTTGTTGATTGAGACTACATGTGGACGTTAAAAATACTAAGAAATATTTTAAAGAAATATATATGCAGAATAAATTTGTAAAACAAATTTAAGTTCGCAACCTGCACATGTACAGCTAACATATTATTAGAAAAAAATGCGTTCTGCTAGAAATTTCACGAATGTTCTTGCCTAAAGAAACTTACCATTACAATTTCGAAAAATCCTAAGTAGATGGAAAAATGCTGACATTTGTCCTTGACTCAAACAACGCCTGCTAATGGATCAACTTGGAAAAATCTTAAGAAATTTTTGTCGAACTGGGACCAAATATGAGATCACGTTGGTACTTTTCAATCGTTCTTTATCAATATTTAATATGTTGTTCTTACTACTTTCTTGCTCTGCTATCCGGTAATATATGATAAATGTAGTTTCTCCGTCGTAAAAATGTTGCTTTATCACTTGGTGCATGAAATGATATTCTAGCATATTTGTTCTAGTACATGTCTGTTAATTTCTTTTCTTTTAATTATAAGTTATTATTTACCTTACTAGGAATGTTCCCTCAATCAGAACATTTAAGCAATCGAAACTCATGGCTTATTTTCAAGAGACAACAGTGTCAAGATCAAATATGATTGATTGTCAGGTGGCATATATAAGTTTGAGAAAGTGAAGTTTGTCAAGTAGGTTTATATTCATGTAGTGTGGTTATGTTTGCCTGACGAGGTATATTAAAGAGATTAATATATATTCAGTTTATCTAATAAAGGATGTATTGGTAAGATTACATATTGGTAAGATTACATATTGGTAAGATTACATATATCTGTGTCTTTTGCTAAAGTAACATTTAAGAAACCAAATTTTGTTTGCTGATCCCTTAGCAACACTCAAGATATCTCTTTTCTCTTTTCAAGCTTCCCAACCCTTTCATTTGGGTGGTCGGGGTTAGATTCCCCGGTCGAACGAGAAGGTATGGTGTCACCTACAAGACCATGAAGGTTTTCTCCTCGTACTCCTGTTTCCTCCCACATAAAGACTCACGTACTCTGACAATCGGGCTAACAAGAGTAAAATTGTAAATAAAATACAGTTAATCTATACAAAGTTTCTTCCAGGTTCATGTATCAAATGACCTAAGATGTTGCACAGATATTTATTCGCGAGTGAAAAGAACGAGACGACCTTTTGCCTAGACTAGGCTTTAGGGTATACAGCTTTACTAGTGTTTCTTCCAGTAAATTTTAGGGTAAAACAAATTGTCTAAAAACGGTTGTTTGCCTGAATATGGCATATTGTCAAAAATTTGATTAGAAGGTATGATGTTGTCTTTAAACTGATTTTTGTCGAGATATGAGAAATAATTAAATACGATTGTAGTACAAATATATATATATCAAAAAGGTCAAGTTTGAAAAACAAATTTGTATACCGGAAACAAGGACTTATCAGGTGTATGATGAGGATACAGAGGTGATGCTGCAGGGATGGTGTTTTGTTAGCAGGTAAACCAATTTATATACAACAAAGGAAATACGTGTTTCCTTTCTATTCTAACTTCGACTATACTGTTGATCTATATAAATCGAATATTTATTGGAGAACGAATTATATTAATTCCGTGTGTGAGCTCTTAGTATTCATAAATACTAAATATAGGATTAAGCAGATACGAAATGAATATTAATATTTGCACGATCACTAATTAGCTAGCGCATTATGATTTGTTTGCTTGCAAAGCTGTGTCATTCAAATAGATCATAAATATCATACAAAAACAGTTCAATACTTATATTTACGTTTTCTCTGCCTCTTATGTTAATTTTTAACTTATAACTTATAATTAAAATTTAAAATGCCCATCTTATCGACAGTCCACACAATTTCGTTCAATAGTTTGAACAGCGTATTGTCGCGTGCTGATTGGCAAACAAAGTAGTACTTTGACATTTTAACAAACACTTCAAATTTATTCCACAATTTAGTATCAATACAATTGCGTATGATATGTCTATAGGGTGATTCCAGTTTTTCAATAGAAATCTGAGCTGAAAGTTAGATTTGAAATTGTTTCGATTTTCCCCCGGAACAAATTTCGCGCATGGATAAATACAGTGAACACCGTGAATGGGACCTTGACCTCCACGAGGGAGTTATTTTTGGAAGTTAATTCGAACTTTTCTCTTTGCTCATTTTGTGAAGAATCCAGGCGTGAATGTATTTGTTGATTGTATGGGAACCCGACAACAGTCGGTAGATTCTATAACAGCATCGTTATTTGACATGTCGTCTGAAACTGAGGAACCGTGGATCCGAGACGCGTGAAACTGATAGCGTTTGAAGTGAGTGATCTTGCGACGGAGCACAGGTTCGTTACAAATGTCTGAAATGACAAATGTTTATGTGTGCTGTGACTCATATCAGTAGGTCTGTAACATATGTGTCAGTAGGTCTATAGAATATGTGTATTTCAGACATTTATAACGAACCCCTGTTGATCAGTGCAGTGTAACAGACGATATTTCTGATAAATTGCATGAGCGTTAAAATTGTTTCCATTGCCGGCATTGGTGATTTCAACCGATGTGCATTTTGTACGATATTGCAGACCTTGGTCTTGATTTCGTTGTAATAAAAGTGTTTTTTATCTTTTTTTTTATTTTGTACATAAATTTACAATGACATTATCAAATCTCACAATGCCCAGCGATATTTCAGCAGCCGTCATGTTTATTTACTTTGGATATTGTAGTTCCGGTCAGTGTTAATACGCTAAGAATTGTGTCTCGTGCGGCATGGTAATTATGTCTCGTGCGGCATGGTAATTAAAGTCCCATCAACGACACAGCTTTCAAAGAGGCTATATAGTGACAATGCCATGCAAATGTAAATATATATATATAGTTTCATTATTTCTCGATAGGTGCAATTTATCAAAGGGAAATAACATGTACGTTGTTAGCTTGCTATTTGATCAGGATTGAACATTTTTTTAATGTTAATAGAGCTTTTATTGAATAAAGGGATTATTTAAACTAATGTCATCTACATAATGCTTTCCATTATCGATATCCAGGAATCACTCTCTGCACCCCTGGAATATTTCATAGCAAAATTGGAGGCACGCGGCTAGCTTTTTTAATTGATGTCAGGTAAAATAACCTGACCAATCACCAGGCCAATATTTGTCTTCTTACGATTACAGAGGAGCAACGCCCGACTTCAAAGTCAGAAAGTTTTACCGTTACGCAACCGCGAGATTCATTGATGTCATCAAAGGATCAAACTAGTCATCTCGTCCCATTCCCCAGTTGCTGCACACTGAGCCTTCGATTTTGCTATGACATATTCCAGAGATGCAGAAAGGGAAAGTGAAAGTAATCCCTGGATATCGAGGACGAATGGTTTCGTGATAACATTGTATTCAAAACCAGCGTTTGTTTACTTGCGCTACAATAGAAAATTCATTCTTGATATATATTTGAAGCTTGTACACGCAGACACGTTTATAGAAATATCATGAAAGGAACAAATAATCCCATGTTCCTATACACGGCGGTTCATTATAAATGCATTTTGTACGAATGTTTCCGGTTGAAGGATCTTACTATCATACATATTGCATGGGCCCTTTTTGTGTCATAGGTGTATCTGCAAGGGTCATTGTGGGTGCAGGAATGTGTGCCTTCCACGTGTTAGAAATTGACATTCAATGTCGCAGTCAATAACAATTTAATCAATTAACATATACGAAACAAATGAAACCTCTTTCATCAGATCAAATGATTAACAATGTTGAAAGCGAAAAATAGGAACGCTGAAAAAATAGTCCAGTAACTGAATGAATAATTCATGAGTTTGTTCAATGTGCGTCCCATCATTATTAAGCGTTCTACGGAAAGGGAAATTGGTGGAGTGGCTTCTATCCTACCAAGTTCTGTGATAAAGTTGACCGATAGAGGTGGCGTATTACTCTGATGTTAATAACAGCCATACAACATTAAATAATACCTGTACCTGATAACAGTTCCATTTGAAGACTAAGTGGTCATGTACGTTTTGCTTATATTCATAGACTATTCTCTGAGATTGAGAAATATATACTGTATACAGGGAAAGTTTCGCCCAGTCAAACGTTTGACCTTTGCCCATGAAATCATTTGTTTTCCCAGTGTAAATTTAACACATTTAATTACTATTTTTATCCTGCTGTTTAGTAAAATTTGCTGTAATGATAAACTTGCCCTCATTACGAAAATTAAACTGCAGTAAATATGGTATATAGTAAATCATTTTCGTTGTTTAAGTAGTGTGAGTTAAAAACAGCCGAGCTAGGACAAATCAAAATTCGCAAAAGATGTACATACAATTTCGTTGATAAAATCTAATGATCTCTTTTTATCTGTGAAAAAGAAGTACATAGTTACGTGCTGCATGACTGGGGTAAATTTGAAATACATGAAACCGAACTCGTAGATTGACAATTTTTTTTGATATAAGAACCTAGTATGCGGTTAATAATTGCTCACATTTAAACAATATTTTGATTTGAATACCTATTCTTAAGTACAAAGCAATCAAATTGAAAAAAATGTGAGATAATTTTGCCAATTTTGAATTATTTATACGCTGAATGAATCTATATATATAAACACTAATCAATACGTGTTATAAAAATGATGTGTTATGTGTCTCTAAACATTTTCCTCATGTTGGTAAGTATGGATTATGAGAATTTGTTTTTACACATTTTACACAACCAATATAATTATCTATGTGACGTTTCGATGACAAGTACGATATGTACACTGTCACCTTCATCAGACAAATGACCAGTAAAGCAACTTCACATAAGATTTATTATGTGTGTTATAAGACCGCTCAATAGGTAATACTCCAAAACTCGTGTTATCGTCACGCAAGGGAATTACGGTAAAAAAGGAAATGTAGAAAGTTCGCTTGGTGCATTATGTTGATTTGTAATTTATTGATGTTGATCCTGATACAGACAGTGATCAGCTGCTGAAAGTCTAGTTAGTTTACGCCCAAGATTTTGAAAGAGATGAACGTTTTGTTACTTCATGTGTACAGCTAGACAGACATGTTTCGGACACTGTTAACAAAAATGGATCCTGTTAGAAAGCGTTGCTTGGATGTTGAATGCATTGCTAGTTGACTTGTAGGTCTTGATAATGACAACTGTTGTTCTGATGCTGAATGTTTGGTTAGTTTACTTGTAGATCCTGATTCAAAGTCGATTTTTGTGTTAGCATTGAAAAGATATCTGAAATGCATTATTTCAAGAAAATTGTAAGTTATAAAAGGTGATACATGTAAATGGATCACCAAACAATCATTTTCTTTATTTAGGGAAAATTTAGAAGATGAATTGTTTACGTTAATGGTTGTATGTCAAAGAGGTTAACCGTTGGGTGTTGTTACCAACGAAATCAACACCCAGGGTTCACTATGACGTCACCAATGAGCTGATATAATCGTTTGCAATGTCAGTAACCAAATGGATCACATCTTGAAATTTGCAATATTTTGCGCTTCGAATACACATTTCTTTGTAAGGAATTCAAAATGTTATGACGATCTTTGGCACTTGAAGGAATACAAGTATTTGTATATTATTAATATTCCTTTTGTCCAACTAGGGTTCGAACCACGGTCTGGCCGGGTATTTCCCGCTCCGTTACACATAAATACAAAATGGAATAATAGGATTTAATCTAGCTAATATCTTAAAGCAATATGCCCCTCAGCTAGCGTTAGCCGTGATCAATTACTGGGACAACGTGAAAGAAAGTATGATATACTGAAAAAATCTGAAGTGTGAAGAAAGATACAGAAGCTGGAAAAACAATACCGCAATTCGTCTAGTAATTATGAACCGGATATGGATAAGTTTTTCACGAAATTTTTTAATGCGTTAATATTTGTAAATGAATATTCTAGTGAGGGTAAAGAAATAAGTGTTTCAAATAAGTAACGAAATGGCACATCGAAAACCAGATATTTCGTCAAGTAAATCGAGAACAAGCGCTGATCGTTCGTTCATACATGTACCGCGAGGGTAGCGAGTTTGTAGGTTGGTGATCCAGAACTCTTTCCTCGAGTGCCGTCTTGGTCCAGGTTGGGCAATGATCAATGGCGACCACTTACATATGTCTTTCCAACAATGGCTAGGCCAGATTAAATTGCCTACCAACAGGGAAATCTAGTTTGTCTTGCTTAATGAAGCAGCGATGGTTGTCGATTCTGATATTGAGCTATGTGCTAGTTTCACCCTCATACTGTATATTGCGTTTTTTGCAGTTGATACACTACATTTGCTGATGTGCATGTCAGTGTTTACAATATGTGTTCACTTTACCATTCATCTGACATTGAAATGTATCCGTGGAGTGTGTATAGACACAGTTTGCATACTTTTGTTGTTGTAGATTGTGAAGAAGCCCTGTGCTGCCTCAGAGGCAAATGTAGGTAGTCTGCAACTTGCCACGAAATGTTTTTGGTTGTTAGCAAAAGGCCAATGAATGGGACTCTGTGAGTAGTTCTTCTTTTTTTTTTCTATTTCGTATTTATGTACTGTAAGTGTTTTGTGTTTTGCTGTGTCTCCATAAAGGAACGGATTGCTCCGAATAATTGTCAACCTAATTTGTCTACACTGTTGGAGTAACGTCTCTGTCCCATATACTAATTTAAAGTAATTCGTATCCTACAAACACATGTTTGTAAGGATCCAGTGTTATATGGGGATTTTTGAAATTTGTATGGCTTCTTTGATTTAAAGAATGATACAATGTATTTGTGTGCATTGTAATGTTATAAATGGAATCTCGTAATTTCATTTTGGTGTATACTCATGATCAGTTCCTTTGATCGTCTCTTTATAAGCATTTTCAGTTTCGATTTCCTCCTATTTATTAACGATAGATGTATGTCTTTATCTACACCCTTGTGTGCAAACGCTTCACTGGTCATTTGTTCGATGAAGGTGACATAGTACATATCGTACTAGTCATCGAAACGTCACATAGAACATTTTATTGGTTGTGTAAAAAGAACCACTTTACCTTGTACATTCAATAAAAATAAATATAAAGAAATAACAGGTACTTTTTCGTCTCGTAAATGTAATGAGTCGATATATCTTCGTTCCATATACACAGTACTAATTAGCAATAAAAGGAAAGTATGAGGCGTACATGTTCCATGACTGATTGACGGGAACGATAGCTAAATAATAGAACGCGTACGGTTATATATGTAGGGTGGGGTTGATAATCAGTCGGAATTATGCATTTCCAATAGACAAAATCATTTTTTTTTTGTCAACAAGTAACAAGTAAGAAAATAGAAATAGATAATATAATCATCAGGTGACTTTAATTGTTTTCAGCAAATGAAATGAAACAGAAAGCTATCATAATGGAGAGTGTGTTAATTCATAACATATTATGCTACATTATTTTAATATGAAATGTTATATAATGAACATATATTTGATTAAAATTGGTTATCTGATAAAAACAACAACTATGCGTTACGCTGATAAAAAAAATAAACAGGTACGCTTCAATTATAGTTAAGGGTACTAAAGAACACGTTTCTACCTTTTATAAGAGTTTTATACATGTAATTGTATTATTGTCACTTGTATTAAGAAAACAATGTAGCATACAATGTTCTGTCGTATTTAAAGTTACTTCATGTGGCAAGGTATTGACATGTACCTTTCATTTTTAGTGTGCGTTAACATAATGTTTTCTTCGCATATTCCATTTTCGATCAACTTAAATATGTAAAATGCATCGCAAATTCTGACATAAAGAATACATTTGTAGAAATATATCTTTGGAAACATTGAAAATGTCGACTTCTTTTAAAGCTTATACCGTCATACTATTATAATACTAATAATTATTCAAGGTTCTAATATACCACTTTATCACAACCGAGTTCTTAGGTCGTCTCAAAGCGGTTCACAAATTATTATCCGTGGTTATAGGGCTTTTGCAACCAGACAATATCTTCCTAAACTCCATGGGGAGCATACAGCCGGTGTTGTCGTTTCGGCGCTCACAGCTACATGTAGCATTCAACAGTTCTAGCACTGCCCAACCACGTACTCATTTACAGCTGAGTAGACTCGTATCTTGCTCAAGGATACAACCCAGTGCCGTGCCGTGACTCGAACCAGCAACCCTTCGGTCACGAGCCCGGCGTCCTACCACTAGACTACCGTGCCTCCATATATCATCTTTATTTCCTCCAAATTGGAGAGCATGATACAATGATACATGTAGTACATGAATAATACATTATTTACAAAACAATCGTGACATTCATACAAGTTCACAAACGTATATACATATTATTAAATATCAGTGATATAATACTGGTTTATGTAGCCAGTAAAAAAAAAAAAAATAATAATAATACCTTGCCTATGTTCGATTGTTTTTACATTAAAAAAGCAAGTATTTGTAAGACATTATTGTAATAATTATTATTACGTATATAAGTCAAACATTCTTTTTATCGCATATACGTATTCTAGTCTAAATTCTTCTAAATCAATTTCATTTAAAATATAGGTCATTGGGCCTCCTAGTAAAATGTGAATAACTGAATAGTCAGGCAGTGAATGCAGATATGAACTGAGATCAATACTTGAAATGCAGGCAATTATACACCATAAATTGTCACTAAGATTTTCTGTTACAGAACAATGCAGAATCACATGAGATACAAAGTCTGTGTAGAAATAGCCACAATGATGACATAAAAGTTGTATGTTACTTACACGTATCGATACAATCAATTTCATTATGTATCCGATATTGTCTAGAAAATTTGGGTGACGCAAGGCTAATTTCCATAAAGTATGAGGTTTTAGACAGTCATGTAGCAATAAAAATCGTGTTAAGTCTGTGTCATTAGACATTCTTTGCATCCATGTATTAGTTTCATAGTTTGTTACGGATTTATAAATCAATGGCTTCCAATACATTTTATTTGGAAAAACTCCATCATCTAGAAATTGTATAATGTATTCATAAAGATTATACTTCTTTAGTGATCTGACAATGTCTGGTATATAACCTTTTTGACTATACTTATTAGCTGTATACATAAAATACCTCAAAATAAATACTCTGCAGATTAAGTTACTTCTTCTCATTCAGCTGATCCTGCCGAAAAACAAAAGCTTTTTGATATCGATATACGCCTCTATAGAAAACCATCCGATTAAAGAAGTACACATATCAGTTCTTGTTCTTTTTCCGAAACCTTGGATCGACTTAACATTAAAATGTTGGGCTCCCTCTAACATCAATAACTCAGTATTTGAAAGTACCCAGAGTTCACAACCGTAAAGCGCAGACGGAAAGACCTTATTTTTTGCAATTTTAGCAACAATTAATGGGTTTAGTGCGCATTGATGTGCCCCAGAACGTAAAAGGGCCATAGAAGCACTTTTTAATTTTTTACACGCTTGTTTTGTTCGTTCAATGGAATTGTGCTTAGCATTCAGTAAGATACCTACATGAGTAATTTCTGAAACGACAGGCAATTATCATAAAGACGTACAGTACAGTTAATGTTTATGATTCTTTTATTTGAAAATACGACAACCAGCAACCCTTCGGTCACGAGCCCGGTGTCCTACCACTAGACTACCGTACCTCCATAAGATATATGACTCGTAAGATAAGTGTACAATAGCAGAAATGCGTCACCATATGTGAGTGTTACATTGTAGCTGCCTTGCTGGTATAATGTCCCATTACCTCACGTATGAGTTTGTGACTGATTGAATGAAGTTTGCATGTCTTTCCCTTATAAGTTTAGAAGCATTGACAACAGCTAGTAAATCTGTCTTTGAAATTCTTTGATTAACTGATTTCCATACGAGGACTGAATGCTGTTTCAGTACTCGTTGATGTTGTTCATAAATGTTGTTTTAGTTGAGTTATATAGAATGATACAAAGCACACTGTTACTTTCCACCATTGTCTTGCAATAAACAATACGTCGTTAAAACAAACAAACAGCAAACAAGCAGCTGTC